CCCCAAAACCCCAAAACCCCACAGATCAAAATGTAAAAAATAAGGTTTATGAACATATTCCAAGCAGCAACTAATTGTTTTGATTAATCAAAAGCTTATTCTCTGATCTAGTTGTTTGCATTAAGAAATTTCAATTTTCAATATCAAAATCTTAAATTCTTTCTTCCTAATCTTCATCAACTTTCGATAAAGAACTACTGCTACTCTCTTCTTTTTTATCTACCAAAGCAATACTCTGACTTTAAATATCTGTTTGCTTAAGTACCATTTCCCATTATTTCTCAATGCCTTATCTTTCCATCACTCTTTTTGGACTTTAATTTGAAATTCCTGATTCATTTTCATAGTCCTCCAAGTTTCTAGACCTAAAAATAGGCAACATACTGCCTTTTCTATAATTGACTGGGCTATCGTTTTTGCTATTGTTTGTTGTAAAAATAGAATTAGTTCGCATGTAAAGTGGACTATTCATTCGGTCATTATCACTAAGCACTTCCTCTCTTTCTCTCTATCTTCTAAGGTATATACCTCTTAAAAGATTTTTGTCGATGTGATCCAAAACATTATCTGAATAATGATTTAAATTTCTTTTTATTTTTTGAATTGCTGATAACTTTACCAAGTCATTCTTATCATCAAGCAACTTTAAAGTATCGAATTGATGATCATCTGAATCTGAAGAAGAGCTCTAAGATTCTAATAGATTTTTCCGCTAGAATTTCAAAAGAATTCTACTCCTTTATGATAATATAACTTTTGCCAATAATCTTAATTTCCTTATGGACCTAACTAGATTAACGACATCAAGTTCTTGCTCCAATCTTTGATTAGCTTTATGATATAAAAAGTGTTAGATAGTTGTGGGAGAATTTTTCAAATGCTTCTTTTTCCTTAGGAAAATACAATTGGAGATATAGCTTATCATCTAATAGAAAGTATACTTAAATCTTTTTCTAGTCAATACTTCAGTGAATAGTTGATTAATATCTTTCAGTGTAAGCTTACTCTTGATATGTATCTTATTTATCAATTCGTCAGGTTTTTCTTCAGCAGGTTATGATTCAAGCATTTCATTTGTTACTGAGTCGTCTATCTTGACTGTTTTTAGGGAAGATTAGGATTCTAAATTAGGACTTATTTTTCTCTATAGCGCTCTGCTCTTGACTTATTTATCTTTTACTTAGTAGATTTGCTTAAAGAAGGAGCTTTTAAATAACCTTTCTTAAAAATATCTGACACATATCAAACCTAAAGAAAATATTACTCCTTTAAAACCACCTATCTTTTCTAGAGTTACGATTAGATTATCAACTACTATACCATATTAAATGTTTCTTCTGTCGAGCTAAATTTAGATTGAGGCCATTATTCTTGATGTCGTGTCTATGTTATCATCTTAAATCTTTATGTTTTCAATTTTAACAAATTTTTCACTATTCTTATCCCAGAATATTACAATATTGCCATAGATCTCTGTTTACCCCTCCTAAAGGTACATTTTTATTTTTTTCTCTCTTTTAGGGTCAAGATCAATTGATGACAACTAATCATCAATGTATAATTCTAAGGGGCTTTATATTTTGTTAAAATTGAAGTTCGCATTAACAAAGAATATCTAGAGTTTTAATTCATTGAAATACTCATAAATTTGCGCCTAATCTTTACAAGTAATTCTATTACTAGAACTATTTTGGCATTGTTGTAATTTTATTTGAACATATGAGAATACATCACTATATTAAGAATTTCCTTTTAACTCCATTTTATTTTCATCTTTAATGCACAATAAATCCTAAATGCCAAACTGTTTTTACTAATTTTTCAATTTACCATTTTGAAATAGTTAAGTACCACAGCTCGTGATTTTAAGATCTTAGTCAACAATTGTGCCATTCTCTGTTTGAGAGGTTTGATATGCTATAAACCCTCCATAAGATGGATCAATTTGCTTACTAACGCCAAAAGCCAAATCAAATCCATTGTCTTAAGGAGACAACGAATCTTGGTTGTTTATATCTCTTAGAAAGTATTTTGTGAATGTAGTTGGAAACTTCTTAGTATACAACAAATATGACTCATAAGCTATAAAAAAAAGAATGAGTAGCCGTGTCAAAATGGTAAATATCGCCCCAATACCAGTCTTGTACGACATTTTGCCCTTGTAAGTGAACTAAATTTTCTAACCATAAACATCCACATTTTTAAATTTCTTGAAGAATGAGTGATTGCACTTCTACTTTCGATTGGCTGTGATTGCCTTAAGGATTTAAGTCTTTTTTCTTTTATCCATAAAAGATGAGTTATTGCTCAACATAAGTTAGAGATAGTTATTTATGAAGAGTTAAGTGATGTTTAATTGATTGTTATTTTATAATTGATATTTTGATAATTGGAATCCAGAGTGAAATACCAATCATTAATTACTTAAGTTTTTTTACTATAATCTGAACATCATATTGCTTAATAAAAGCCTTGGGGTTTTGGGGTTTTGGGGTTTTGGGGTTTTGGGGTTTTGGGGTTTTGG